TTCACCACACGTTATCAGCGCTGTGCGATCGAACTTCTTAGCTTTGGCCCTTCACTCCTCACTATCTAGTAATTCTACGTTGGCAATACGTAGCCTATCAGATCGTCAGAACATAGCAGCTTCCTATTTAGGTAGTACCCTTGTCCAGATCCACAGATATCTACGTATTCCACCCACCAAGAGCTTATCCCTTCCAATGCTACCTGCTTCTCCAAGCCTTCGGTTTAACTCTTTTTAACCAGTGGTAGAACTCTACATTCGTTTATCGACCCAGCTATCGTTAAATGACAGGACACATCGCTTGTTCGCCGCCGCCTCGGCTCTTCTTTGCGCAAGATACTCGCCACATAGAGTTACGCCATAATGAGCCATTTCCGCAGACTTCCTTACGTTGAGACCATTGCTTCCCCTCCGAGCTTTAACTCATTTGCGCTCGTTCTACCTCTTACAATATTACATAACCTGGTTTTTAACTAATCTCATGGAATTAACTCACGACCACCAACTTCATGAACTCTGAGCCGCCGTAAATCACGAGCGTCTTTTCACAATTGAACTCTCTGCATACTCAATCCGATTTGTCTTCTTCGCAAAGCGAGACCTCTAGCCTTTCTCTATTCTCTTTATTGTTTGGATTTTCGTTATTTTTCACATTTGGGTTACTATTTGTTCTTTTCTAGTATCCTACAAAGCTGCAATTGTTTATAATACTCTACTGCAACACAGCTTCTCCGAGTTGACTGCCTCAACTCCATAAGTTCTATCTTCGAGTTTGAACAACACACTCCATCCTTACCCAGCATCCACTGGAACTCGCGTTTCACCCACGTCTAAGCCCGTTGAGCTAGCACAGGTAGCAATAGACGCCACCACCTCTTGGCCTCCACGTCGGTTACGTCTTAGTACTTAGCAATAACCGACATTTCTTTATCACCCAAATACCCATCAAGTTAACAATATCAACATCTTAGCCTTGGTTGACACAAGTGCAGCAATTACTATGATCGTTAGCACCATTGCACCGTTGCTGAGAGTTTTCCAGTTGCTTAAGAGCGATATTCCTTCGGCTATCGGCATGGTCGGTATTCCTATAAAAACCATGAAAATATCTTACCTCCATCTTCAAGTTGGGTCGTTTAAAGTGACACATCAGGTCTACTTTACAGAATCAGCTTGCGTTCCTGAATCCGCAGACGCATACAACATAATCATTGGTAACAACCTCCTTTCCCGTCTTCCTCTTTGAAGCATAAATTACGACCGCAAATCCTTTTCAGTTGCTGACCAGCAAGTCCACATTTTATGTACTACTCTCCGCGCCACAAAACACTGACAGACCAATTCCTGTATGTGTGGCGGAGACCAATAGTATTCCCATCACAGACTGAGACCTTTGTTCCATGTATAACTTCGTCTTCAAACTCATCTTTACTCGTCCTCACATCCCAACCTTCCCTCATCACTGAGAAATCCCTAATAAACTCCAGTAGTGATCGTTTCGCAAATCCTTGTTCTTCTTCTCTAACCTTGTCAACAGCAACCCGGTCAACACATATCCGCCTACCCCCTTCATTAAGATGAAGCTGGCATCCTTTCTATATCAACGACATGTTCCTAGCGCCACACTATTTGGAGGTGCTGTGCAGATAGCGGCAAGCCGTGACGCCACAACTATATCACCTCCGCTCACCGTAGATCTTTCTAACGCTGAAGTCAGCGATCAGTTCCTAAAATACATACGATCTCGGGTATGAGGCCCAGCGATAGTTATCAAAACTAGTCGGAAGTCCACCCAATAGGCTTTTAGCCTCCGCGGAT